GAGTATCTTCATCAGACGAATCCATGGTTGTGATGTGTTGTGTTGTGATGTCGTGCTATGGCCTATGAAGGGAGGGATATTAGCCTGTGGCACGGCACGTGCCGACAAGTCATGTGCCGCGTGCCGTGTGCTGTCTATGGAGGGTCCGCCTAATATAATTTTCAAGTATACTGAAGTGACTTTGTTCAACTGAACGTTCAACTGAACGGAAACCCTGTTGAGTTTAATTTGAAATAAAATAATAAATATTTTTAAAATCTCAAATGCATGCAGCCACACTTGTCACGTCACCTCACATGTCACGTCACCTCACCCCACATCCCACCTCACCTCACATGTCACGTCACCTCACATGTCACGTCGTCTCACCTCACATGCCACCTCACCTCACATGTCACGTCACCTCACCTCACATGTCACGTCACCTCACATGCCACGTCACGTCACGTCACATGACACGTCCCCTCACATGTCACATCACCTCACCTCACATGTCACGTCACCTCACCTCACATGTCACGTCACCTCACCCCACATGTCACGTCACCTCAGATGCTACGTCACCTCACTTGTCACGTCATCTCACATGTCACGTCACCTCACATATCACCTCACCACACATGTCACGTCACCTCACATGTCACCTCAGCACACATGTCACGTTCACGTCACCTCACATGTCACGTCACCGCACTGGGCACAGGACACAAAGCACATTCCTAACTAATTAGAGAGTCTCATTTGGTATGGGAAAAACATTTATTTCTTTTGAGTAAGTCACTGTCCATGATTATGTTTGATACAGACCCTGTTTTTCACATTGTCATGCAGCCATGATGGCATAAATTAAAAGTTTTTATCTGCTCTGACTGACTTGTATATTTTGATCGTTCTTTCTCTTTTTTTTTTTTTACCATAGTGAAAGCATGAAATCATTTATAGCTACTTCACGCTTCCCTCGTTGATTTGTTTCGCTCGTTTCATTCAGTTCCAAGGATGGTTTATATCACCATAAACCATTGTCGTGAGCAAGCTTTAACACAATCTTTTAAAGTTCTTTTTGTCTTTCTTTTGCTTGCGGTATTCAGTAGCCTTTTTTCAACATTTTGATGTTAACTTTGAGTTATTTATCCTTCGTCTAAATAATACTTCCACGAAAAGTATGGTTATCATAATATTACTTTTGACGCCCCACCCCCTTCCCCATACATTACCTGTTGTTTCAATAAAAATAAGAAAATACACCATGTCCAAGTATGTAAACGTTTACTCTCTTGCTTTCTTGTTTTGTCCTCAAGATCCCAGGGACGTCAGAATCTCTAATTGAAGTTTAATCAAATTATTAAAAACTTGGACTAGGCCCAAAACAAAATCACAATGACTATAATATGGCATTTGTATATTTCAGTTAGTTTTTTGTTGTAAATAATCGTGCTAATGATAATCCCAGATCAGAATAAGCATTTTAAGAGCTAATGGATTATTATGATTTCCCCATTACTATTCATTATATGGCAGCATTACTTCAGGAAATATGGAATTTTATTGTATATGTTATTCTCTCAACGCAGCGGCAGATGAATCAGGCACGCTTAGGATACAGGTAGGCACACGAGAATTGAGTTGTATTTACAGGCTCATTTGAGTCTTGTATTGTATAGATACAGCGTCCCATGAAATTATGGTTAATTCCTTTTCAGCCCTCATTTCTATTATTGAATTTTCTCCTTTCTTGCGAATGCTCAGTGAAGTAAATAGCTTGGCGTTCCCATTCACAGTCATTTCTACAGGGTCCTCGGGGGTACAGCCTTCACACACAGTTAGGTTAATACAAATGACGAGATTTAGAACTATGATCTGTGCATTATTTTTTCCTTTTCTACACCTGTGGAACTTATTATAAATTTACTCAATGCCGAAGAGTAAGTGACTACAGAAACTGGCAGTTTGACCGCTGGTCTTGTTGTCTCTGTGTAAGATGTATATACAGATTCATACAAGCGCATGTTATTCATACAACATATATA